GCCACTCCGCCGCAAACGTCCCGAATTGCAATCTAGCCGTACAAGGTTTGTCCGATGATTGTGTACAGCAGAAAGATGAGATGCTGGAGCTTTATTTTATGCAGCTTTTCATATACTCTTACGTTACAACTACTCGGGTCAGTGACCAATGTGTGAACCAGTATGGAGCGTCAGCATGTAAGTTCTTATAACTGTAGGTAGATGTGTGGGGGATGTTGGGAATAATCGTAATTCAGCTGCTGGCGGCCCTCTAGTGTCATTTAACAGAGATATATAAGATTCTCCATTGCACCTCGTGCGCTGTAATTAGCTCAGAACACTTGCTATATAGAATTATATGGCATTGCTGAGATCACTTGCTATATAGAATTATATGGCATTGCTCAGAACACTTGCTATATAGAATTATATGGCATTGCTGAGATCACTTGCTATTATGGAATGATTATGGCATTGCTCAGAACACTTACTATATAGAATTATATGGCATTGCTCAGAACACTTGCTATATAGAATTATATGGCATTGCTGAGAACACAAGCTATATAGAATTATATGGCATTGCTCAGAACACTTGCTATATAGAATTATATGGCATTGCTGAGAACACTTGCTATATAGAATTATATGGCATTGCTCAGAACACTTGCTATATAGAATTATATGCATTGCTGAGACACTTGCTATATAGATTATATGGCATTGCTGGAGAACACTTGCTATATAGAATTACATGGCATTGCGGAAACACAAGCTGTATAGAATTATATGGCATTGCCTCAGAACACTTTCTATATAGAATGATATGGCATTGCTCAGAACACTTGCTATATAGAATTATATGGCATTGCTCAGAACACTTGCTATATAGAATTATATGGCATTGCTGAGAACACAAGCTATATAGAATTATATGGTATTGCTGAGAACACTTGCTATATAGAATTATATGGTATTGCTGAGAACACTTGCTATATAGAATTATATGGCATTGCTCAGATCACTTGCTATATAGAATTATATGGTATAATATAGTAATAGTGCATGGCGACATTTTGCTTCTTACATTATTATGCGCATCGTGTGTAGTAACGGCTGATACACACGTACCGCAGGTGGCAACCGTTGTCGTGCGGTTTCTTAGGTGACTGCTTCTCTCGTGTTCTTTCGTGGTGTTTCGCTTAGCTGCGTATTCTGGGAAGCTCATCGACCTTAACGACATTCCCGCAATTAGGCGGCGCCCGACTCCGCAACTAACGATCAGAACCATCGCTGGTCTCACGCCAACCTCGGAAAAACTCCTCCTCGAAACCAATACGGCAGGCGGCGACCGCGCTGGCCTCTCTCTCTCTCTCTCTCTCCATCGACACAGGTCACCGTCACTCATCTCAGTGTGTGAGGGTAAAAGTAGGTTTGCGCGCGCGCGCGCCGTGTGCGTGTGCTGCTTACAGGTACGCCTGCCTGTGTGCGGCTCCCTGCACCTCCGCCCCGCCTCGCTGCGGCAGCACCTCCGCACGCACACCGACGAGCGGCCGTTCCCGTGCTCGCACTGCCCCCTGGCGTTCCGCACGAAGGGTCAGCGGGTCGTGCACGAGCGCGTTCACGCGGGGAGCCAACCGTACCCGTGCCGCACGTGCGGGCGAGCGTTCCGCACGACGAGTAACCGTGCGACACGAACGATGCGCTCACGACTCTGAACGGAAGCTGCGCATCCGAATGAGCGGCTTCAGCAAGCGCGCAGCAGTCTACTGCCTGCGGTCGTGGCAGCGCTGCACGTGTCGCCGCCAGTTTCCCGACTGTGTGAACGCGCGCCCGCACGTGCCGCACACGTGTGGCTTCTCACCCGTGTGCAGTCGCTCGTGCTCCACGAGGCGCCACCTGGTGCGGAAGCGGCCGCCGCACGTCGCGCATTGGAACGGCCGCTCGTTGCGGCGGAAGCGCATGTGTTCACGCAGGTAGGCAAGCTTGCTGGTGCGCGCCCCACACACCTCACACAGGCACCTGTAAACGATCACCGCGTCCACTCTGAGACCATGTGCCGCCCACACCATCCCCTGCCAACGTACGCCCCTCCCTCTATTTGGCGTGTTATTTATAAAAAACTGCCTGGGTTTCCTATGGAGAACTTTCTTTCTCGAATATAAATGTATATGTACTACATATTTACGTTAAAAATTTTTAGTCCCACTATTATCGGAATGAAACTAAACACTACACGGCTCGGGGGGCGGCCTACTCAGGCTAGTACCTACCTGCTACCACCACACAACTCTCGCTGACTGTTACGTACGACGAACCACGATAGAACACACACACTGCACAAAGACACACGCACTCACGGTTGCGCCTGCATCTAGCGGACACCTCGTTTTTGCTTGGAGTTGTAGTTACACGGTGAATTTTTCTCTACAAAACGTTGATTTGTCTATACTTGATGGGGTTTCTCTTAGAGTTGCCCTTACATGCAGTTTTTGACTGCACCTTTCTCACGAGAATTCGAACCACTACCTCCAAGCTTGATGCTTGTGTTAACACAGGTTCAATGCATCACAGGTTCAATGCATGACGAACGTTGCTTTCGGTTTAATGATTCTATAACATCAGGCAGGTTGGAGAGGGACCAAGCCTTATGAAGCAAACCAGGTCCGGAAGCCACAGCGGCTTATCATCATGACGATCGTTGTCAGCCATAGCACGCCGCGCGAGGATGGGCCAACCACCTCACCACACCACGCCGCGCGAGGATGGGCCAACCACCTCACTCGTCGCCGGCACCATGCCGACAACCCTCGCCCAAATTAACGAAATGATTAATACGTAAAATCGACACGATGAGCAGTCACCTTGCAGATGTCGCACACACGGTTAGGGTTACAGTTTCGCACGCGTGCGGGGCGGCTGGGCCGCGCCTCATGGCCTCGCTCGTGGTAACGCATCGTACTGAGCTGCACGCAACGATAGTCGCACGAGTCACACGCGTACGGCTTCTCCCCCGTGTGCCGCAACTCGTGATTCTTGCGATGGTGGGGCTGAGTGAATCCGAGGGAGCAGAATCGACAGCGGTGCGGGCGCTCGCCCGTGTGCGTGCGAGCGTGAAAACGCAGCGTCGCCGGACGCTGGCAGCTGTAGTTACACAGAGCGCAGCTCATTCTACAAACAGACAACAGGTGGCAGCACGCTCGCTGGCGGACGCACGATGAAACCACTGTGCTAACACAGCAGTATCATACATACGACTTTAGTTTGAGGTTGGGGCGACAGATTTTTCAGTTAGGCACAAATCGTAAGCACCAGCGACACCAGCGACGGACCCACGAAAGAACACACATAACTCACCTTCGTGGCTTATACGGGAGTCAAACCAGTAAACTACAACTTGTGAATGGTTGGCTAGCTATTCGTTCTATTAACATGTGGAGACGTAAAATCTACCTACCTCTAGATTCCAGTCTGACGTCATTTGTACACAGCTGTGTTTAGCTCACATACTCTTAACTAACATTGCCTTTTCCCCTGATTGGAGTCCCTGCGCAGGTGCAGTGCGGCATGGCGTGGTGTGGTGTATAGAAGGTATTTAAATGAGGAATCGACTATTGTATAGATCTAGGCATTTACCATTAACGCTACTTGACTGCCAAAACCTCTACAAAGTCATGATCAGATCAGTCAATTTCCCCCATTAGGGTGATACTCGTAAATCCACCAACATTCCCATCAAGCTTATATAGACGCAGATCTCCCAACAAGTTCATTGCTATTGACTGACCATCGATCAGAAAATATGAAACACTATCCATCATCACATAAAATGAAATCCATGAAGCCAAGGGGAGGCAGAGAATGAGGAGGCAGGAGCGGAGGGAACATTGGAGGGCTAAAAAAACAAGGAAGCGAGCACCTTGTCTTACGAGCAAAGCGTGAAAGTTACAGGCATGTGATATCACTACACGGATAACCACCGATCATCGTCCGTCCGACCCCCCCCCCCCTCACACAGCAATGCTCCCTCTGCCTCGACGCCTGCAGCAGCAGCAGCAGCAGCAGTGGCTCTACCTGGCAGATGACGCACGACCACGTGCGCGGCGCGGCGGCTGCATGAAGCGCCCTCTGGTGCAAGGCCTCGTGCGAGCGTAGATGTCCGACCTGCCTGAACGTGCGGCCGCAGCGATCACACGCGAACGGTCTCTCGCCCGTGTGTCGGCGCATGTGCACGGTGAGGTGGCCGGGCTGACGGAACGCCATCGCGCAGAGCGTGCATCTGTGCGGCCGCTCGCCCGCGTGGATGCGCATGTGCTTCTGCAGGCTGTTCACGTTCACACAGCGGTAGCTGCACAGGTAACACATCCTCCTGAAACACGCGCGCAAGCGAGCGAGCGAGCGAGAGCCATATCATTCTATATAGAAAGTGTTCTGAGCTAATTACAGCGCACGAGGTGCAATGGATAATCTTATCTATCTCTGTTAAATGACACTAGAGGGCGCCAGCAGCTGAAACTACGATTATTCCCAACATCCCCCACATCTACCTACAGGTTATAAGAACTCACATGCTGACCTCCTTACTGGTTCACACATGGTCACTGACCGAGTAGTTGTAACGTAATAGTATATGAAAAGCTGCATAAAATAAAGCTCCAGCATATCATCTTTCTGCTGTACACAATCATGGACAAACCTTGTACGGCTAGATTTCAACCGTGGGACGTTTGCGCGGAGTGGTACTTCAACTTTACTTACTTACTTTCTTACTACCTTCTTACTATTCTACAGCTAGCCATCTCCCTTTCTCGAACCAAACTTATCCAGGCTGTTCTCTGATTGGCACTTAACCTTACGTTGTGCTTAACTTACCGGACATTTTCGGCAACTGCTGCTTCAAATTTCCTTGATCACTCCCACCCCCGACTCGACCGAAAACCTCCCTACCCAGAACCTCCCCCACCGGCACCAGCAGCAAGCATCACGGTTGATCGCCTCGCTTGCTGCAGTGCCCCAGATTAGGCCACAATTAAAAAAATATTTGTTTGCCCTCACCTGACCCAGGCTGAAAAGGCGGGGTCTTTTTACAAATTCAGCATGGTGTCTACATGCTCGGGTGTGCTTGTGTGGAGATACCTTTTATGTTGAATGTTTGTTTTGCTTGGTACATATAATGTATTGACTACAGATTTATATAATGTACAGTGATACAATTTGTTAAAAAGAAAAAAAGAAAAAAAAGATCAATAACATTTTTCGAGTCGGCCCCTTTTTGGCGGGTCGGTCGGGTGAGGGCAAACAAACAATATTTTTATCATGGCCTAACTGGACGATATTCACGACAATAAACCTCTGTGGCCTCTATCCTATCTGATGACTATTACATGACACTATCATGAGTCATGTAAGCATGTACAGAGATGAGTAGCTTATCATTTATAATGCAAGTGAACTGGATGAGAAGTATTTCTCTTCCCTGAAGAGAATCTCCACCCTGGCATTCCTCTAACCTGCAGCAAAACTAAACCGAAAGCAACGCTTCCCCTCCCACTAAAAACAACAAGCATCTCTTGTAGGAAAGATGAAGAAAATGTGAATTCTTCGAAGAAAATTTCCGCCCCAATGTCCCTCCAACCTGCAGTGAGCCCCTAAACCAAAGACCTCCCTGCTGAAACATTCAATAGTCTCAGGTAGATAGATAGATAGATAGACGGTTACCCCGCAGGCGAGGCAGCAGAGTTTCGGCACGCGCCGCAGGAGGCGAGGCCCGCGTGCGTGGGGTCGCGTGGCGGGGTCGTGGCAGGAGGCGAGGCCCGCGTGTGTGGGGTCGCGTGGGGGGGTCGTGGCAGCGTGGCAGGAGGCGAGGCCCGCGTGCGTGGGGTCGTGGCAGCGTGGCAGGAGGCGAGGCCCGCGTGCGTGGGGTCGCGGGGGGGTTGCGTGGCAGGAGCGAGGCGCGCTGCGTGGGTCGGGGGCGGAGCCCAGGGCGAGGCCCGCGTGCCGTGGGTCGCGTGGGGGATCGTGTGCAGCCGGCGGCAGAGGCGAGGCCACGCGTGCGTGGGTCGCGTGGGGGGTCGTGCAAGCGTGGCAGCAGGCGAGGCCCGCGTGTGGGGTGCGCGTGAGGGGGTCGGTGGGCAGCGTGGCAGGAGGCGAGGCCCGCGTGCGTGGGTCGCGTGGGGATCGTGGCAGCGGCAGCAGGAGCGAGGCCCGCGTGCGTGGTCCGCGTGGGGGGTCGTGGCAGGAGGCGAGGCCCGCGGTCGTGGTGTTCGCGCGTGCGGGTCGTGACACGCGGCAGGAGGCGAAGGCCGCGTGCGGGGTTCGCGTGGCGGGTCGCTGGGCAGCGGAGGCAAAGCAAGGCCCCGCGTGCGTGGGTCCGCGTGAGGGGTCGTGGCATCGTGGCAGGAGGCGAGCCCGCTTGCGTGGGGTTCACGTGGGGGGGGTCGTGGCAGCGCTGGCAGGAGCGAGGCCGCGGCGTGGGTCGCTGCGGGGTCGGGCAGGAGGCGAGGCCCGCGTGCGTGGGCGTCGCGGCGGGTCGTGGCAGCGCGGCAGAGAACGAGGCCCACGCGTGCGTGGGGTCGCGTGGCGGGGTCGTGCCAGCGTGGCAGGAGCGAAGGCCGCGCTGCGTGGTGCGCGTGGGCGGGTCGTGGCAACGTGGCAGGAGCGAGGCCCCGGGCGTGCTGTGGGTCGCGTGCGGGGGTCGGTGCAGCGCGCAAGAGGCGAGGCCCGCGTGGCGTAAGAGTCGCGTTGCGGGGGTCGTGGCAAGCGTGGCAGAGGCGAGGCCCGCGTGTGTGGGGTCGCCGGCGGGGCGGGGGGGAGCGGCGGCGTGGGCGGAGCGAGGAGACGAGGCGCCGCGTGCCGTGGGGTCGCGTGGCGGGCGTCCGTGGCAAGCGCGTGGGCAGGAGGACGAGGCCCGGTCCGCAGTGCGTGGGTCGCGTGGCGGAGTTCGTGGCAGTCGGTGCAGCAGGCGAGGCCCGCGGTGTCGTGGGGTCGCGTGGCAGGGTTCGTGGCAGCGTGGCAGAAGAGCGAAGGCCCGCGTGCGGCACGCGCGCAGGAGGCGAGGCCGCGGCGTGCGGGTCTGCCGTGGGCGAGTCGGCACGTGGCAAGAAGCAGAGACCCGCGTGGCAGCGTGGCAGAGAGCGAGCGCGTGCGTGGGTCAGCGTGGCGGGTCGTGGCACGTGGCAGGAGGCGAGGCCCGCGTAGCGTGAGGCGCAGTGCGGGTTCCGTGCAGGAGGCAGCCCGCGTGCGGGTCGCGGGGGGGGTCGTGGCAGGCGCGGCAGGGAGGCGAGCCCGCGTGCGTAGGGTCGCGTGAGGGGGCGTGGCATGCGGCAGGACGGCGAGCGGCGGCGGGGGTCGCGTGAGGGGTCGTGCAGCGTGGCAGAGGAGGCGTGCCCAAGTGGTGTGGGGTCGCGTGGGGGGGTCGTGGCAGCGCTGCACGTGTCGGCCGCCATTTCCCGGACTGTGTGATACGCGCGCCGCACTGCGCACACGTGTGTGGCTTCTCACCCGGTGTGCAGTCCGCTCGTGCTGCGCACTGAGGCGGCCACCGTGGTGCAGAAGCGGACGCCGCAACGTCGCGCATTAGGACGGCCGCTCGTTGCGGGGAACGCATGATGTTCACGCAGTAGGCAAGCTTGCTGGGTGCCGCTCCACACACACCTCACACAAGGCAGCCTGTAAACGATCAGCAGCGTCCACTTCTGAGACCGATGTGCCGCCGCACACCAATCCGCGCCAGCCACGGTGACGCCCGCTCCCATCTATTTGCGCTGTTAATTATATAAAAACCTGCCTGGGTTTCCTATGGAGAACTTTCTTTCTCGAATATAAATGTAATGTACTACATATTACGTTAAAAATTTTAGTCCACTATTATCGAATGAAACTAAAACAGCTACACGGCTCGGGGGGCGGCCCTACTCAGGTCTGAGTACCCTACTGCTACCACCACACAACTCTCAGCTGACTGTTCGTCCAGACGAACCAGACGATAGAACACACAACTGCACAAAGACACACGGCACCTCATCGTGCCGCCGCATCTAAGCGGACACCTCGTGTTTTGCTCGAGTTAGTAAGTTACACGGAGTGAATTTTTTCTATACCAAAACGTTGATTGTCTATACTTTATGGCGTTCTCGTAGAGTGCCCTTACATGCAGTTTTGACTGCAGCCTTTCTCACGAAAGAATTCGAACCAACTACCTCCAGCTTGAGCTTGTGTTAACAAAGGTTCAATGCATCACAAGGTTCAATGCATGACAAAAGCGTTGCTTCGTTTAATGATATCTATAACATCAGTTGGAGAGAGACCAAGCCTATGAAGCAAACCAAGGTCACAGGAAGCCACAGCGGCTTATCATGACGATCGTGTCAGCACATAAGCACGCCGTGCGAGGATGAGGTAACCACTCATACTCGGTCGCCGCAACCATGCCGACAAACCCTCGCACCAAGATTACGAAATGATTAATGACGTAAAAATCGGCACAAAGAGCATCACTCTGCAGATTCGCCACAGCCAGGTAGGGTTACAGTTCGCACGCGAGTGCGGGCGGCTGGCGCGCGCTCATGGCCTCGCTCGTGTAACGTGCATCGTACTGAGGCGCACGCAACGAAGTCGTCACGAGTCACACGCGTTACGGCTTTCTCCCCCGGGTGCCGCAAACCTCGTGATCTTGCGATGGTGGCTGAGTTGAATCGCGAGGAAGCAAATCGACAGCGGCGGCGCGCTCGCCCGCGTTGTCGTGCGAGTCGGAAAGCAGCGTCGCGGAAGCGCTGGCAGCTGTAGTTAACACAGTGCGCAGCTCATTCTACATAACAGACCAACAGGCTGCAGCACGCTCGCTGGCGGACGCACGATGAACCACTGTGCCTGACCACAGCAAGTAATCAAAACATACGACTTTAGTTGAGTTGGGGCGACAGATTTTCAAGTTTAGGCACAAATCCTCGTAAAGCACCAGCGACACCCAGCGACGCGACCCACGAAAGAACAGCAGCACAACCACCTTCGTGGTCTTATACGGGAGCCAAATCCAGTAAACTAAACACACTTGTGAACGGTTGCCTAGCTATTCGATTCTATTAACATGTGAAGACGTAACATCTAACCTACCTACTAGATTCCAGTCTGGACGTCATTTGTAACACAGCGTGTTAGCTCTACATACTCTTAACTAAACAAGTTCCTTTTCCCCTGATTGGAGTCCGCTCAGCAGGTGCAGTGCGGCATAGCGTGGTGTGGTGTGATAGAAGGTATTTAAATGAGGATCGACTATTGTATTAGAATCAAGGCCATTTACCAATAACTCTACTTGACGCCAAAACCTCTACAAAAGTCATGATCAAGATCTAGTCAGTTGCCCCCCATTAGCGGTGATACTCGTAACTCCACCAACATCCCCCCAATCAAGCTTATATAGACGCAAATGCTCCAACAACAATTCGATGTGCTATGATTGACCATCGATCAGAAAATATGAACACTATCCATTCATCTACATAAAATGGAATCAATGAAGCCAAGGGCGGGCCAGAAAATGAGGAGGCAGGAGCGAGGAACATTGAGGGCTGAAAAAGAACGAAGGAGCGACCATCTGTCCTTACGAGCAAAGCGGGTGAAAGTTACAGCATGTGATACTCACTACACGGATAACACACCGATCATACGTGCCGTGGCCGACGACCCCACTTGCCTCCCACAGCAACGCTCCCTGTGGCCTCGAGCCTCACAGCAGCAGGCAGGCAGGCAGTGGCTCTAACCTGCAGAGAACAGGCACGACCACGTGCGCGGCGCGACGGCCTGCAATGGAGCGCCCTCTGGTGCAAGCCTCGTGCGACGTAGATGTCCGACCTGACCCTGAACGTGGCGGCCCGCAGCGATCACAACGCACGTTAACCGCTCTCTCGCACCAGTGTGTCCGCGGCATTAGCAGCACGGTGGAGGGGCCCACCGGCGAAACGGAACGCCATCGCGCACAAGCGTGGCATCATGGCGGCGCTCGCCCGGGGAGGGACCGGTGGAGCGCATTGTGCTTCTCAGGCCTGTTCACTTGCACACAGTTCGGTAGCTGCACAGAGGTATACACATCCCTCTCTGAAACACGGCACGGCGCAGCAAGCGGTCGAGCAACCGAGTCAGTAGCTGAAAAGCTCAAACGTAGAGTTCCGTAGCTGAAACTTTAGCATCATAGAAGGGACTAGTGAAGTCCGTCAGTCTAAAACGTTAGGCTCATAGAGAGGGACTGTGAGAGTCCGTTCAGCTAAAACTTTAGCTCATAGAGAGGGACTGTGAGAGTCCGTTAGCTGAAACTTTAGCTCATAGAGAGGGACTGTGAGAGTCCGTTAGCTGAAACTTTAGCTCATAGAGAGGGACTGTGAGGCGGACTCTCACAGTCCCTCTCTATGAGCTAAAGTTTCAGCTAACGGACTTCAGCTGAAACTTCAGCCCGTACAGAGAGACTGTGAGAGTACGTTGAGTCTTGTCTCACTGAGTGACTGTGTGGAGCCTGCTAAAGACGACTCTGGGAGTGAATTTGTCTGTTGAACTATTGCGGGAGGCTTGAACCTGTATTTCTTCTGCAAGCAGATGCTGCTGGAAAAGTAGTGCTACTCGTTACGACCAGCTGACTCTCGCTGACTGCCGTGAGAGATTTTACATCCAGAAAATGTCCTCGAGAACAAGAGACTGGAGTTCCTGATCGGCAGGACCAGCGCAGCACGGGGAAAAGCAAGGCGAGGAGAGGTAAATAACGCTCACTGTAGCTGTGTCAATGACTTCACACTGCTACACTGAAAGAACACACACTGGACTGATCAGCCATTACCCACAGTGACAATGCACTACACACATCGCCACTCATCGCATAAACATTTATGCATTCTCTTCACATGTTAAAACCATGTTGAAATTACTCCAAGCAATTACAACGTGCCCGTTTCTATTTTTCTTCAACAAGATTACTTATTTAGATTTACAATAGTCTGCCAGCAAAACAAAATTGCATCTCTAGTAGTGATCATAAAATTATTGACTGTAAGGGTAGGTTTTCGTCAAAGATTATTTTCCATTTTTATGTTTTGTCTGGCATCGTAGAGTGAAATCTTGACTACTTGTCAGCTATGGAGACAAACACTGACTCAACGAGATCAGGGGCAGACAATGACAAAAGATCAAACCAGACCAACTCAGACGAACAGGAGATCAACTCAAATCAATTGAAAACAATGACAGTGGGTCATACACAGCTATTAATCATTGCTACGTTACATTCAAGTACAGTTAGTGACAATTGTAGTTAAGCCTTGTTTTAACACAACCAGATGCACACATCACCTAAAAGTCATATTTTCTACCACAGATTGCGCCTGCAAATTCTCTTGCGGTGATTTCGTGATATCTAAACGTAAATTCTACCAATCTTTATTCTAAAAGGTCAAGATGTTCTGCTTTGTGAAAGCCAACGTCCCAATATTCCGTGGACATGGATGATACACCTGTCACCCTCCAGCGACCGAATTTCTCAACCAGTTTACTAAGAAACTGTAAAGCTACGAAGCATATAACACAGCTCTTCTATAAGCTGGTAATAATAATATGCCAGTGGTACGTGTTAACCTGGCAATGTAACCTGAATGTACAATGTATGCAGTATATGTGAAGGTGAGGATAAGGGGGTATATAGAACAGCGAGGCACATACAGACAGCAGAGGCTGATCACTTGCAGCAATTCGATTACGCTTCACCGTACCTAGTCTATCTTCTACTTCAAACTCCGCCGCGCCCAGTAAACTCGCGAGGATCTCACGCTGCGTGGTATACAGCAGCTAACGAGGCTACACGCGTAGTGAGAACGTATTCTCTCTACCTCACATATGCAACACGTCGCTCCGTGCTCCTCGATATGCCGCTGCTTGGATCGCCGTGGCAACCGCGGCAACGCGTGCATCCGCTGCCAGTGCCCGGTCGCCGAGCCGACCTGCGCAAATTTCTTGTGACACACGTCACACTCGTAGGGTTTCTCGCCGGTGTGCAGTCTCTCGTGCGTGTTAAGCTGCTGGGTTTGTCGGAACGCGGCGTGGCAGTAGCGACACTTGCACGGTCGCTCGCCCGTGTGAACGCGCATGTGCACGCGCAGGGTGCATGGGTCGCGACACGCCAGCCCACACTCCACACACTTCACCCTGAAACATAGAACCCGTCGCCGTGCCGTCACTCGCCTCGATGACGTGACGTTGTCATCATCGCGAGGGAGGGGGGGACATCGGTGCTAGCAGGGTGTGGCGCGGTGATGCATCCTCCGTCAGCTTGGCGGAGTACGATATCGTCACCGTCTTGTCAGGTTGTGGCATCAGATTGTAAAACATATGACAGAGACACTAGTGTACCAGGTTGTCACATAAACCCAAGCTGGTCATATGTCACCCATGTTAGGTAATGACCTCACAAGACGTTTTTGTACGACATTGATCAACATTAGCTAGACATGGTTACCACCACGTGCCAGCCAGGCAGTGCATGTGTCATATGTCAGCAACAACTAGAAATACCCTCTGTGATGTCACCAAAAACTAGACAAAGGTTGTGAGATGTTACCAACAGTTATATAGGGGTATGTGATGTCACCAGCAGCCACACAGCACTTGCGTGAAATCAGCAACATAATCAGCGTTTATGTGATGTCAGCACCAGCTAGTAAAGGCACGTCAGTTGCTGGAATCAGCTTGACCGAGTTAGCATCAAGTTACTGAACAAATTACACCGACTTGCAACTGAATACAAAGAACACACACTGGAGATGCCATCACATAAACACCCTCAGCCGACCTTTACTTAACCCCGACAACTGAGAAACAGTTGTAAAGTCTGTCAGAACATCCACTCTGATGTTTTCTACAAGAAAGCTAACGTATGTGATGCAATTTTCATGCGTATGCTTTGTGTGCATAAATGAACACCTATTTAACTGAAAACATGTTTTAAAACTATACCAAGATTGATTTTTGGATTTATGATGCAACAGTCCTCCTTGACTAGCCAAATAATTTCACTTTCTTCACTTCAGCTGCTAGCCCCTACCCCCTACCCCCGCCCCCGCCCCCGCCCCCGCCCCCGCCCCAGCTGCTAGCCCCTACCCCAATTACTTCCCAATTCACTCCTAAAGATACTGGTAAGGGTAGCTATTTGAATACCACCACTCAATCACCACCATGTGATTTAGTACATTTCTCAGCAAAGGTGAATCACTTTCACCATCATTTACCTGGGTTCCTGAATGTTAAACGTCAGCAAACGAAGCAACTTAGGTTGGCGATAGTAAAGTGTTCGAGGAGCTCTGGATTGGAGAGATGCTAGCAAGAGAACTGAGATGCCACGAGGAAGACAACAGGACTTCTAGATAAAGGACTTCACAGAAGTTTCACGCCGCGCCAATAACCAGCACACGAGTTGCTGTGGCAGGTTAGACTTGCCCGCACAGACAATCTACTGAGCACCGCGCTACACTCTGGCTGTCATAATACAATCAAACATTCACACGCTCATAGCTTTCTCCCCAGTATGTGTTCTTTCGTGGTGTCGCAAGTAGCTGGCAAAATTTTTAGTGGCATTTTTCCACAATGCCATTTTTTCCAGACAAATTTAATGCTCGCACTAGATTCAGCAAAGCACATTCCAAAACCAGGACTCAGTTGGTTGGTAGGGGAAACTGCAAATTTTTGACTGACACATGAGAATGGGCATGGGCAACATAGTTGAGAATCAAACACATGAGCCAAGCAAGAGTTGTGCACATTTCGTTAAGACAACAATGAACAGTCAAAAATCTCTATATATATATATATATACTTTAAATTCTAAGAAATTGGTGAGATAAACATTTACATTACGTGAACAAGCCAAGTTGTATGAAATGTTACTTTACAAGAGCACAAAATCTGATTTCCGTAGTAAAGCAAATTACATTACTCAAATATTATTGATTCAAATGAAGCTTCTACAATATACATCTATATATATATCTATAGTATAAAAAGCAACTTCCCATAACATGTCTATGTTGAGAAGAAACTAATTCAATCAGCCTACCTTTTCTCCCCACGATGGATCTTCTTATGCATAGTCCTATTCTTCTTATAGATGAAAATTTGTGGACAGTGCTTGCACTTCCAGTATTCGGACACGTTGTGTACGATCTGTACGTGTTGGATGAGGTCGGCTGATCGCGTGAAACCAGCTTCACACTCATCACACCTGTACCAACGAGATATGTTACACAGGTGTGTGCGTCATTAGCCAAGCACTACTGAAAGCAAAATTAACTGTTAAATTGACTACGTCACGAATAATGCAGCAATTTAACCATAGAAAGTGAACATAATTATTTACATTTTGTGAAAAAGTGGAAATATTATTTTTACTTTTACTATTTACGGTGACGTAATCACTTTAACATGTGTCCAACTTTCTTACAAAGGAACTAGTCTATAATTTTGTAAAAAACCACAAAAGCACTTCTCTGTTTACATGTTTACTATCAATTCATTCTAGAGTAACTGCGATCTAGTCGAGTAAACCAACCACCCCGTCATTTGTGTTGTTGGATGACAACATGATGGGATGTACATGATTAGTTCATTAGTCCACATGACTAGTAAAAGAAAAAATGTACTAGTCCTGCCGAATGACTCTTACTAGGTGCAGAGCGACGAGCATTGTGATTTGCCAGGAGGTAGGTGGGGGAGGAAGGTGGAGCCCCCCTTCTGCTAGGGGGTACAGGGGGTCTCCCCCAAGGTACAAGGGGTGTCCCCCCCAAAAGGTTTTGTAAAAGACATTCAAATTTCAATTGTATAAAATATACGTAACTTTTATATGGATCATAAGATTAAAATTAAAATTAAATTAAATTTTAATTCGAAAATAAAATTTCGGCCTCCTTTGATGAGGAATCTTTGGATCCGTCACTTATCACAGCAAGGAATTTGGCCTCATTTATAGCTGCAAACTGTTCCCGGCGCCTTGTATCGGCTATCGCCGTAATGAACCTCTGGCAGGCCTTGTCGGTGAGGTAAGTGCTGCCAACATCTAAGCCCTTCGCCTTGTCAAGCTGGCACAGCTTGACGTAATCTGTGTAGGGCTTGCCGTTTTTTCCAATAGCATGTGCATTTCTAATTAGGATATTCAGTTTTGCTATTGTAGCCTTGTTCATTAAAGTTAGTGTTTTTGCCCCCACTGTTTCGTGAACAGGCATGGTCCTTGCATTTCTTTTTGCTATGATCTTTCTGTGCCCCTCGGAAGCATCATGTGCTTTAAAGGAATAATAGGCTTATTGGTTATGCAAAGTTGACGAATGCTACAGTAACTGGCACCTTGTGTAGTTAATAAGTACATTACCTTATAGCCAAACGTGTATTAGTTTTTCCAATATCACTGCTGGTTACTAAGAAATGTCTAATTGAAATCCGCAGTCCAAGAAATCAGTTGACTGACTTGTTTACAGTTTCGAAACCGCATATACTGCGAAACTGGTGTGATACAGATTTATAGTGCACCGGACATTTTCGCACGCGTGCTCGGCCGTACGCAATGCTAGCGATAGTACAGTACCGTAACTGTATACGTAACAGTAGCTCTGATTGTAATGAACGTGGAATCCACGTACGAATCACGGACGCTCGTGATAATGAAGTAGGCTGTGTTGGGGGTCAACACTATGGGGGGATCGCGGACTAACCACGGCCACAGACTAAACATAGAAAGCAGACGGCACTACGCGTATTTACGTATATTGGTCAAACGAATACACCTGTGTTCGAAATTGAAGACATGTGGGTACCCGTTCATTAGCACCCACAGTTATTAACTTGTGCCTCAATGCCGAGAATACACCCAGAGATACATTCTACGAGCTCATTAGTCGTTATAAGCATCCCGGTACAAACAATTCTCTGCTCAACACCCGTAGCAACATGTGACGTCACCTAACCGAATTCGAGGCTATTTTGCTTGGCAACCAATTTAGCGTTGGTGCCAGATTACCAGATTTACGGTTTTCAATTAGACATTTCTTAGTAATTAGCAGTGCTATTGGACAAACTAATACGCGTTTGGCTATAAGGTAATGTACTTATTAACTACACAAGGTGCCAGTTACTGTAGCATTCGTCAACTTTGCATAATCAATGGGCCTATTATGCCTTTAACAGTTTCCAAACGATAGTTTGTAGTGCCGGTGAAAAAACTACCAGACATACAGCCTGCACCACAGTCCACAGGTCATACCCTTGCCCTTGGCTGGGTCATACTCTAGCCACGGGTATAATGATTTCCACGCTGGCTGGAACGTACGCATCCTTTTGGTCTTATCATAGACACGCTGGCCATCTAATTTCTCCTCCTGCGACTTACGTTTGGGAGGTGGAGGACGAGCTCCATCCAAATACTTTCACATAACAACCTTGATGTTAGTATTGGATAAGGATGTACCTACTACTACAGGGTTTCTTATACATAAGAGGCACAGTGGCGCACCGCCGTTGTCAAATTTAACATCGCCGTTGTGAAAATATTCCTGTATTTACTGATAAATATATCCTGTATCTATATACCTATACGTATATCAATACATCTTGTATTTGAATCCATCACGTATTTTTTTCCAAACTGGCCATTACCTCCTTTGTCTAATTTTCCCTCAGAAAAAACCCTGAACTATGCTTCACTACTTGTATCACTACTATATAGATAACTATTTGTATCGACAGCTTCAAGTAAAACACGCATGCGATGTGGTTGCAATGTAAATACCTCGCTATGAGAGCGTATAAACTGATTAGTTGTGTCATTTATACAATCAGACCGTTTGTTCTATGTCAACAGCTACTGTCAAGCGATCGATCGGTAGACTGGTTCGTGGCCCCATTGTTTAATTTTTTTCATAGGGTCTAGCGTGCTTAGAGAGTGCAGAGCATGCTAGCGTCTACTTGTACTAGTGCGTCTATTAAACAGGGTAACCTTGTTGATGGTAATGAGTTATATCTATAGCTCTTTGGATCTTGGTTGAGAAAAGCTGCCGCCGGGGACTATAGTAAAATCGATGTGAGGATGGGAAATTGGGACAGTGAGGGACGGGGAAAATAACTAGTCCGCAGGACTAACGGCTATAGGGCATTTACTAGTCCTTCTTATTTTTTACTAGTCTCGGACTAACGAACTAGCGTTAGTGTCGAACCCTGAAAGCCCAAATGAAATTGATAACGAACATCAAACCAGGGCAAATTTGTCACCCATCATTTAAACTATGCAGCAATCCTGTCGTCGTACTTAAACCAGGTTCCTGGAGCTGCAGTTGTCATGTCGTATGCAGCTGGATCCTCTTTTGCCTTCATCTTTTTCTCTCGTGGTGTAACAGACTTCTTCTTTGGCATAGCTGGAGAACATTCAGGGCTTGGGTCTTGCTTTTGCTGCTGATTTTGTTGCTAAACATGAGGAAGAACAAAAGGCGATTATAATTATATTACGTGTGACACTTATTTCGCTGAACAAAAGTCAAGAACAATTACTTGGTTGCAATTTAAAAGAAACTGCTGCGTTAAAACATAGCCCACCTGAACAGCTTCTCCCATTGCATTTAGAATGACCTCTGCAGCATAAACATGCTCTGTGCTTTCAAGACCGGCTCCTTCTGTGCTATACACACTGGGAGTGGCGCTCTCTTCCGCGGCGAGAGAAGCATTGCCTTCAGTAACGTAGACATAGGATACGTTTGGATCCATCAGCAACATCTCCTCCGTTTGCTGCGTCTCAATTATGTTCGCCATGATCCGATTTGTCCAGCTTCATAAACGACACAAGCGCAAGGTGTCGGTTATTCTACCAATCGTCAACAGTGAGGATTAGATAAATAGACATTACGCATTGTTATTTTAAAATTTAATGTTGTGACGTGTGGCAAGTATTGACTGTTGTATTGGACAGCAAGTCTACGCAAATTTGGGTAAATGCACAATCACCGAATCATCGAATCAATTCTTTTTATTCTTTTGCACAAACTAGGCCTATAGGCTATATTTAGAAAAATAAAACACTATAGTATAGGTACAGTACAGTTTAATTTGAAATTCCTACTTGTTGTTGTTCCTACGTAAATCATGCATCATTGCATGGACAATAGCCGCCATATTACGTCCGGATCACAACATTGATTTACCTTTTTGTCTCGATATTCAACAATTTCCCATTATAATTTATATTGGCCGTCTCAATAAATAACAATAAAGGAAACTACATGTACAATATTATATTGATTACCTGTTTAACTACTCTAACAATGCGTTATGTTTGTAATTTCCTTTATTTTCCAAGATAACAATTTCACAGTGGAATCAGCGCCACTAGGCGGATAAACCCGAGTTGCCTTGCGCGCCATCTGCCGATTACTATATTAAACAATGCAAAACGGTCCTCCACCTTCTCCCTCTCCTCCGCATCCTTTACCTTCTCCCTCTCCTCTGCATCCTCTACCTTCTCCCTCTCCTCTGCATCCTCTACCTTCTCCCTCTCCTCTGCATTCTCTACCTTCTTCCTCTTCTCTGCATCCTCTACCTTCTCCCTCTCCTCTATATCTTCCACCTTCTTCCTCTTCTCTGCATCTTTCTTCTTCTCCCACTTCTCTGCGTCCTCTACCTTCTCCCTCTTCTCTGCATCCTCTACCTTCTCCCTCTCCTCTATATCTTCCACCTTCTCCCTCTCCTCTGCATCTTCCTCCTTCTTCCTCTCCTCCTCCTCCTCTTCCTCCACTTTCTCCCTCTCCTATAATATCCTCCAACATTCCCCTCGACGCTACCTCATTCTCCACTAAGGTGAAATATTAAATTTCCAATGCGATACATTTTAAACATACGATTTTAACCTATATTTCCATACAAGCAATTTATTCTCGCACTAATAGATGCCTAAATTCTTTCCCATAGAGGTTATAAGTGATGTCCTGTGAATACGTGTTTATGCTCCTTATAAAAATAGTCTTAAAATTCATAGTCAAGTCCTAATATTATCATACCATAGCAAAAACATGTACTTTAGAAGAAAACTAATCGTTTTATTTGTTTATGACATATAAATGTAAACTAGTCATCAAAGTTAAAACACAAGGTCATTAACACTGTTGACACAAGTTCCAGGGTTACAAAAAACTTTGATGGCTACTATTATGATAGTGATACCAATTTAATGTGTACATGCCCTAAAATGTGTATCAACCGTGTGTACAAGATAGGAATTCCATCGTTAAATATATAAATTGAATAACTATGAATAAATAATTTTAATAGACAACCATCTCCTACGAGAAAAAAGACCCATAAAAACGTCAATTCATTTTGCTTAGCAAGATACATAAATTTTAAGAAACGGTTTCTGTTTTGCATAAATGCATATTGCATAAATGCACACGTACTCGCACACACCCATGCAAACTCCACATTGTCTCCTGAAGTAGTGGATAATGAAGAATTTCACCAACTTTTTGCACACCTTATTGCAAACACATTTACAATAAGAATCACATGGGTAGTGTGTCCATCTGCAAACCAGAACCCCTCATACTAGTATCAATAAACTAGTTTATATTAGTCCCGTGTGTGAGAAATATCTCAATTTATTAAATTAATTACACTAACAAATCAATATTAAAGATTACTCATGATAGTCTATTAGGTTAAAATTCTAACAGAAAAACAACTGCTGTTAAATGTTAGATAATACAAAAAAGCACCATGTATGCAGTATTGTTTTATTTTGCTCCACGTCTCAAAGTCGCACATTATCCTCCTATTCTAAAATCTGGAATCACAGCACCTTTGGGTAGAAATAGTTCGCAACAACAAATGTGAAAATTACTATATTCGACATCCTGCTCGCATTAATTCCCCAACTTCCAACAGTTTAGCAACATAACAAGCAATGGTCAGTGCACTCTGTACGGGTGGCAACACTGGCACAGTTGTACGAGCTACACACGGCATTGCAATGTAGCTCTACTGTCTAAACACTACAGTAGACAATACCGATATATAGAAGCTAGTCCCTTCTTATGTTGTACTTGTCACTAGGTAGGAAATTCTGCATCGTTATCGTTATTTATGATAGACTAATATCACGCCGTCGCCGGTGAAGCAGCTTCTACTTGACTACAACCACACTCCTGTGATACCTGTCCATGTACTGATGACCTGAGAGGTTTGTACTCGGATTGTGTCAAAATTCGTAGGTACGATCGGGAGTACCAGAAAAGCATGAATCCCCACTTCCACGTCATAAAGCACCAAACAGATGTGAGGTAATATCCATCATCGTACGGCGTTAAGGCTGGAGCAAGACAAACAAAACTGCATTAAAACCGAAACACGCCATCTGTGAATGACAATTACTATTTACTTAAACCACATTAAAACATATACAGTGTCTCAGACATTATTCCTCAACACTTATTACAACCGAGGTCACAAGAATAATCAAACAGAGAGACATTCTCGCTAAGTTACTCTAAATATTATTTCTGTAAGTAGACGGTGAGGGCTTGTAGTACATTCCCCCATTCTATGTAGCAAAGACCTGTAACTCCACTTCTCACTCACAGCGTCCCCACGACCCCACTATCAAGCACTACCAGACCACGAGACTCTTAGTATTGAAGGGCACGTATATGTAGGCAACTTACACTGCCGCAGTGCAATTCCTAATGTAATATAGGTGACGATGCCGCAGACACCGGCAAGCTGCACAAAGCAGCCGGTCAACATGAAGGTCCGCAGTCTAGGTGTCCAGGACTGCAGTGACCCGCGAGAATACTTTACATGCAGCCATAGTGTCGTTGCTGCAAAGCATCCTGTAGCAGATGAAAATCAGCACCAATTAGTAACTGTGCAACTATAAGTACGGCTCATAGGGTCTATGCCCCCCAGGGTACTGCTGGAACGTACCCTGGGTACGGTCTGGTATACCGGAACGTACCCTGGTAACTATCTGATATGGTTAGGGTTAGGGTTAGGGTTAGGGAGTATGCGTAGGCAACTGGCAGAAAAGAAAGTCTCCCAAGTAGTTTACAAACCTGAAATAAGAACCCTGGGGCAAGTTAAGACACTACACATGTGACATGACCTACATCCACATAGTCAAGCCAAACAGGTTATGCTAGGAAAAAAGAATGCCATGCACCTGCACATAGTTATATACAATTAGCTAAACCATTGTTTGTTACTATATAAACAATAAACATAGATTTAGAAGTAACCATACCCTCAATTATAATGAATTTCTCCCTGAACAAGACATTTTCAACGATCCACCTCCTTATTTACACATTCGATACAGATTATCACAGACATATAGTATATGTTCCTGTTTCGTGTAAGTATATGATATACTTACACGAAACAGGAACATGAACAGTTCCCCCAGCCTTATACGGTCTCAATACCTTAACCAGTAAATACTGACCGATCATAAGATAACTCATTATTTACAGATACGATACAGACTGCCTGGTCAGTAATTACTAACGCAGGAACGGCATGCGATCATGTCTTGACAAGAGTCAACACATTAAACACCCGTACCTCGGGGTTCAAACTTCACCATGATAGCGGCTGCATTTGCCATGGTTTCTTGAAAAGTCGATGTCAATAGTACGTATTAAAACCACATGATTGCCTTTCCTAAACAGTTTGGGGTCTGTGCCATTCCCATATATGCTATGTCGTTCCTGTTCCCCTCCCCTCCCTCTCAATGTCATATGTTGCTTTGATGCCCCTCCTTTTAAGAAAATGTTTTGCATTTCTTGTTGTTGTTTTTGTCCTACAATAAAATGCATGTACAAAAATTAAGGATCAATTGGTAAAGTATTTAATGGTGTTCCAACTTGCCTTGATGCCCTGAAATTGCTGATTGAAATTAAGGCAATACTTGCATTGCCCTAATACACTGAAATAGGTGTGTATGGCTACATAATTAGAGTTAGATGCAAACTAAACCGACCAGGCTCTACGACTGTTACACGGCGTAGGAAATTAGTATTAATTAGTAACGCGCCAACGTAGTGTTAAGCGAGAAGGGAACTTGTGGCTAGATGCAAACATGTAACCCAACACAGGAATTAAGGGACAAACGTAATGTAACCCTATGTATAGGCCTAATGGTGAAAATTGCGCTTAATATCGTAACAGCAACTCTTCAGAGTATAAAGAACAAGGCTACGCGTCCGGACATCCACTCACACAGTGATCGCGCGACTCGCGTACACGCATGATTGCGCAACGGGACGCTCTGCTGCCGTCTATCGTTTCATCCGTCCTCTCTCGCTCTCTCTCTCTCACACACACACATACACACGCGCGCAGCTCTCTCTTGCTCTCTCTCTCTCTCTC